CACACACCACACACCACACACACACACAGACACAGACAGACACACACACACACACACCCCACACACCCACACACACACACACAGTTTCCACAGGCAAAGCTGTGTGCAGTCGTCGGGGTGTGCCCTGTCATCCGCAAGCAAGCCATTCTTGCACGTTTGCAAGACAGTGATGGAGCATGAGTGTTAGGCTTTTGTCAGGTGCTAAATTGTGTCGTGCAGGCCCGAATCGATTATGGCTTTTGAGCAAAAGCGGCAGATGTTCGCCAACAACCCGGACATCACCTTCGAGGAAGCCTTCGGAGGCGATGTGGCGCAGCAGAAGCTCTACCAGTGCCTCCTGACCTGTTGCGCATGGTCCATGGGCAGTTATTTTGGCATGGTGTCCGTCAGCTGTAGCGAAATCAGCAGACTCTCCATCATTCTTAGGTCGATCTTGGTGTATGGCCTTGGGGAAAGCGAGGAAGACACATTTTGCCGAAATCTACGTCCAGAGCGTTGTTGGCAACAACCTCCACAGTTTGCTTCGTCACTGGAGTGTGGATGACCGTGACGCCAGATTTGTTCTTAGCAACTATGCGGCTGGCGGCCTACCGTTTGTGCAGCAAGCTATAGCAGAGACCATGCTCGGTCTGATGGAAGGATTAGTGGCATGCAGCATTCGTAACATTGCCAACCTGACGGACATGGGAGATTGCATCGACACTCTTGAGCTGGTATTTCGCAGGTTGAGCAAGCCTCAGCGACAGAGGTGGGTGTCCTTATTGGTCGAACTGCTGATGACCACTGACATTTCCCGCGGGCGCGAGAGAATGATGCAGCTCCTTACGATGATATGGCTATCTGATGACGATCCTGGGCGAACCTACGCAGAAGCAGAGAAGCAGCTCAGGTGTCTTGCAAAGTCCTCCTCAACAGATGTGAGGCGTCAGCTGCTGAGACTCTGCAACAGATGATACTGTCTAGCTCCAAGAGTCAATCCGAACCAAAGAGAAAATAGTTTGCTCGATGCGCCTGCATCCATCATTGCCGTGAGCGTCGTCGTTTTCAGGTACTTGCACTTGTGCGCATGCACACACACATGCATATATGCGTACGCCGCTGCTGCCGACTTGGCCCACTTATAGAGGGTCAAGCAGCGATGGACGGGAACGGACAACGGCGACCATGGTTGGTGACCTGGCGACACTATGAGCTGCAACTGCATTTGCTACTGCTGCTGCTGCTGCTACTACCACTACCACCACTACTACCACTACTACCACTATCACCACCACCGCCGCCGCCGCCGCCGCCGCCGCCGCCGCCCCCACCGCCACCGCCACCGCC